AAGTGATGTCCCTTACAGTTAGACTCGGTCTCTAGAGCAGCTTTAATTTTATTTGATCGAGAGTACTTTATTGAGTAAAATTAATTGCATTACCTCGGAATGGTCGGCATTTGGTATCAATTACTCGGAAATAAAAATAAAAATATGAAAAATGAAATCAGCTCATGTCTAGGGTTTGCAATGTGAACATTAATCTAACACCTCACAACAATTATAACGTTCATACTCTCCAAAACCAACGTTATATTGTTGATACAGAGTAACAAGGAAAAGGCTAATTGTGTGGACAACATATAAAAGAGCTTAATGATGATGTTTTTATTTGGTGTGTCTGTCCGGCCTGTTAAATTTTGTCTTAGTCGGGTCATTTAAAATTTAGTTTGACCTTGCAAAATTTAAATCAATATATCAACCGAATACAACACCAAAGTTTATGTTGTGAAGATCGGTTTCGTTTTCCCTTAATTACCATATTATGGTCTGAAAAATGCTAGATTTATTAAGATTGATCTATACAATTGATCTGTTCAGCGATTTTTTAGACTGCTAAAGGTCCTTGAAACACATTTCTTAATAAATCAGTTTTTAAGCATCCGAGCATAGAAAATGGGAGGTGCATTTTTTTCCTTCTTTACCAAACAAACAGTATCCTGATTTTGCTAAGAAAAGATAGTTTGGTGGTCCAACCTTTACACCGGGCACACTTTAGATTTGTTTCCATTATTGTATAACGAAAAGGTTCTTAAATAGACTCAATTTATGTAGATCAATATGATTATAACCATTCACCGACATGATCTTGGCCATTCATCATATTGATCTATATAGCTGACTTATTATAGGAGTTCTACACCCACAACGGAGGCATGGCTACTCCTCATTTAAGCCAGTCCATTACTATCAATTCACCACGGTGCTAATAGGAGTAACACTCAGCATTATCTTATGCCACTGCATGGCTGGACTTATGTTCCAGGTGAATATACTAAGACTTTCTAAAGTCGAGGAGCGACCGAGGAATTTGAACTCGGATCTAGAATAATAAGCACCTCGTCACTGAACCAACCGTCGTGGTAGTCTTTCCTCGTCAAATTTCTCAACAAGCTTGGAGGAAAATTGTGGAGTTGTATGGCCTTCTAAAACCCAAATTTTATTGGGCTATCAAGGAGCATCGAGATAGGAACTTTAGGATAGTTTTGGTGAAATTGACTCTGAATAATTTATCTTATATTATATTTGTCAAGCTCGAGATCATCAATTTCGCAGTAAAATATGCCGCATTTCTATATGAATGTTAAATTCGCCATGTTGTCTACTTGCTTTTAAGATTATCTCTTCATTTTGTCACGCTATCCAGACTAAATTTGAGAATGATTAAGTGGGTCGAAACTTTAAGTCTAGAATTTCAAGAAACGAGACATGAAATGGGTGCTTAGGCGATTTTACCATCTGTTCTGGATCCATGGTTTCTTCAGCGTCGGAATTTTTTTAAATTTTTAATATATCTTGGCGATTGGGAAGCAAACAGAGATTCACCAATTAAGACAAGGAGAAAGAAAACCAAAACACCGAACGTAGAAATCAGCAGCTCGTCGCAGAAAGTTCGCCCGGCTTCTTTCCCGGCGGCCAGAAATCTTTCCTTCGGATTCTCGAGAAAATCGCGCAGCCCCGAGAAAAACCCAGAATCTTGTTCTGTCGAAAGACGACATGCAGCGTCGGAACCAGGGGAATTACCGGAACCCGGGCCTGACGATGCACCAGCCATGGGCTTCTTTGCTCGTGTTCGGGATCAAGCGCATCCAGGGCAGGTCTTGGCCTGCCCCAATTCGAGGTTCGGTTTTGGGACTCTTTTTCATACTTCTAATTTCGCGCCCAAGTTCCAACTTTTTTGTTTTTTTGGTGTTACATAGTCTGAAACGAGAAAGGAGTGAATTTGTTCGTGGAGCCCTTTCAGCTACTTATTTGATCTGTTCGCGGTGTTTTCCTATCTGGGTTCTTGAAGTCTTCAGTGATTGTTTCGTTTTCTATGACCATGTTCTGCATGTGGATTGTGGAGTTCAAAGGATGAAGGGAATGGTGAGAGAACCTGCAGAGACTGGAAGGGAGAACAGGTTAACTACTGAAATTGAACATTGTTTGCTCATAGCACTTGAGAAAGAGAGGAGAGCCTTTTCTTCGGTGCAAAATCCGTGTTTGGCTTTCGCTGACCAGTTTGTGCAGCACCCGTGTTTTCATGCCTCACAAGTTTATCGAAAACTGTCCGATTGGATTGCAGAGAAATAACAGCGAGAACAAAATTGAAAACCAACGTGTGGACCGATCCGAACGAGGTTGTGTATTTATTGAAAATGTTGGAACATAAAAGTTTATATCACAAGCAAGTGCACATTGACTGTGTTAGAAGTTGATAAGGGATGACATACTGTTGCTGAATGTTTGTGTAACTGAGAATGGAATGATGTGGCGCAACTTCAATACCTAGCACATACTGTCCGGGGAAGTAAAGAGTACAAACATTTTGCACGTGCACTAAGATAGCCATGGGAAATGAGAATACTACTCTCAGCTCATATAATCAATCTTTGTTGACAAACATCGTGTAAAACTTTTGAGTATGGAAGTTCAGAAAGTCTATGCACAAAGCTGGGATCCAGCGTGTCTTGTCGATGTCTTGTTGAAAAAGTTTTCAATATCCTTTTCCATTTCCTTTCCTTTTCCTTTTCGAGGATCTCTGACTGTAAAGCACATCATTTATGAAGGGCGCCTTTGGATCCACGCCACCAGCAAAGTTCCAGATGAATCCACGATCAAAGCCATGGAGGAGTTCTACAGGGAGATTTATGCGGTGAATGGGATTACTGAAATTAAGTTCCTGAGCACTATCCCGTCTCAAGACTACTAGGTATTGAAAGGGAGAGCTATCCATGCTGCAACTAGCATACTTGGACTTTCTTTTTTATGAAAGAGCACTTGAGCCTCCTATTTACAAGTTCTAGAAAATTCACATCATCTTCTGATGGATTTCCCAAAGAAATAGCAGCTTATGTATGTCTTGATAGAAAAAAGTGTAGATATATGGGTGCACGGATCACTCCTTTTCACCTGCATGAATTTCGTTTTATCTAAGCTCTTTGTTGGGCAAAGTTTCTAACGGTAGATTTTGCGTCATATAACGGGTGTTCGTCTTTTTCAGACAAATGTATTGACAATTGGAATGTTTTGCCTGTGCAAAAGGGTGTGTCGAAGTGGTTGGCTGTGTCCGAGGTGAAGAACTAGCTAGCTGGGATGGGCTGCCTGAAGAGGTGGGATACACTGATCTTTTGCTTGCTTTGTTTCTTGAATACCTATCTGATTTCACAAATTAAGTTGAACATGTAAACTTTTGTAATTACAGGTAAGGCTGGAAGCACTAACAGATTTCTGCTGGCTCTGGGAACAGCCACAGGTGTGTAAATCTGTCCTATACGCAATCGGTACTTTGCTCTCACATATGTTTGTTCACGATTTATGTTTTTCCCACACTGATTCGACTTTGCTGATATATTTTAAGTAATACAGAAATTAGTCATTCCTTTTGAGATGCGAGGGTACCAGAAGATTTACAACTTAGAAAATAAGGTAAAGGATTTGGCTACGTAAATTATCATCTTATGCACGACATTGCACATATGCTGACAAATGAACTTTTCACAGATATACGAAGCTGCAGCCAGAAAGGGCTTACTAAAGTGGAAAGTCCACTGCCCGTGGCTATCAGCATTCCCTTCATTTGAATAATTGTAACTTTTCTAATCTGAACTTTTAGATTGCCTAATGTGAAGATTTTGTGTAATGTGTTTTATATCAATCCTTGGCATTAAGGGTGATCGGTTCCCGGTCAGGTCCGATCCCACCCAAGAACTGGGAACCGGACCAAAGGGACCGATTCTCAGTTTTCGGAATTGGACTGGACTAGAACGGTCTGGTCCGGTTCCCTGGCGGTTCGTTGGAACCGGTCTTTTTTTTTTTTTGTAGTGAAATTTCACACCTGAAGTAAACAAGGCTGTCCATTACATAACCACCATATTCTCATCTCACTATTAATACTTTGAAAATGGTATAAAACGAAATCTCACGTTACCCAAATAGATTTCCCTCATAAACAAGTATCTTTCCTACATCACTTGTATATGAACTACATTCTAATAAATAAATTTAATCTAATTGAATGCATAATTTGGTCAAATGTGCCTCAATGTGAGTTCAGCTAAAGAGGAGGCATGAACGTCATGGGCGAATTTGGATAGACCGAAACAGGAGAGCAAGAGGAGGCATGCGTGAGGGGTTTTAGATTATTAGGTTTACATTTAAAAAATAAATAAATAACTAAATAAGAGGAGAGCAAGAGGAATTAGGAACTCGACCCAACCATCTGGTTCAGTCTAGTCCGGGCGGTTCCCGGTTTGGTCGTTCCGTCTTGCTCACCTCTACTTGGCATGTCTGTATTTTGCAAGTCCAACAATATGTTTCACAGATTTATCCCGTACCAAACTTTTGGGTACATTTATTATTTTGATATTCATTAATCTGTAATGTGTGGCATAGATCAATTTTATCTAAGTATTAGAAAGAATGAGAAGTAATGCATATGAGTTTAGGAGAAATAACACAAAATCCCACACGTTTGGCAGCGAACTTTTGACTGTTAGTCAAAACCATGCTGAACTTTCATTTTGTTACATCTGTCAATCGTCCGTCTATTGTTCCGTTTGCACGTGCCCAACATGCGATTTTTCAAGGGGAAAATTGTAATTCTTCTCAATTTTTATAGTCAAATCACTCTTTTACCTCCATATTGACTAAAACAGATCAAAATTAATACAATAACTGCACATAAATAAGAAATACATGTAATGATCACTAAAAAGACGACGATGACAAGGACCACAAGAAGATAGCACTCGGGGATCTGAGGGTAGTAAATTCGAAGATAAAAGTATTGATAGGTCCAGATAAAACTATTGATTATAGAAGAATTATAAAAACACCGGAGGATCTTCTTTCTTGTGATGATCAATGATGGACCAAGGGGGGACTGGCTGGGGCCAATATATCACTATGATCTACGAAACTTGAGGATGAACCTCGACGCGGCTCATCACCCTACCCTGGATGATATTATAGGAATCGAGGCTAAGATCATGCCGCTCCCAGTGATTCTCTTTCCTCCAGATGAAGTAAACTTCTGGGTTGCGTTCCATCAACTCCTCAAAGCACTCTTGCAGAATACCCTCCGTCATTCTGCTACTGTTGTCCGGATAGAACGCAAGAGCAAATTCTTCTGGCATGTCACTGAATTGGAGATGCTTGAGGTTCACAAGGCCACGGATGACAACCATTAATGATTTCCAGTCCAAGTGCCTGCATCCGCCAATAAAGAGACTCTGAAGGCAAAGCATTGCATGATCATTCATCAACAGAAGTCTCAGATTTTCTAGATCGGAGAGGTACAAGGTCTTGAGCTTTGGGAACCCTCTATCTCCAAAAACCAATGTTTCCCCATTAAAGGCACTACTCAGATGAAGCACCACGAGATTGGGCAAATTCTGGAGAGCAATTAGGGGGCTAGATTCCAATCTGGTCCATGACAAACTCATTTTGGCCAGATTGTTCAACAGAGGAAGCCAATGAGGCAGCTTCTTTAGACATCCTTGGATATTTAGAGTCCGAAGGAGTGAGGGAGGTGAAGATAGAAAATCTAAATCAATAACTTCAGACTCACTTTTTGCTGTCACACTAAGTGTTCGAAGGATGGTCATCTTCACGAGGGAGTGGCATAGTTCCTTTGAATCATCTCCCTTCAGGTCCATTACACCCAGCCTCGTTAGTTGACTTAACTCTCCCAGCTCTTGCATTGTATTCTTGCTCCGACCACCTCCAGCTTTTACACAGGTCAATTTTTGCAGTGATGCCAGCACTCCAATGCCCCGGGGAGCTGAAAATCCCTTAACAAAACCTAAGTTTGTCATTTTTGTATACCTGTACACCAGAAGATACTGTAATTTCTTGAGCTTGGTTATCTCCACAGGCAGCTTAGAGACTAATGTCTGTTTAAGATCCAGAGTCTCCAGATTTTGTAGTTTCCCAATTGACCTAGGAATGATGCACACGTGGGTCCCTCTCAAACTTAGATACTTCAAGTGGAACATAACTAGTATTTGTTGGGGGAACTTGTGAAGGGATGAACCTCTCAGATCTAACACCCTGAGCAGCTTAGAGCCACTTGGGAAGAATTGCTCATCTGAGGTTGACAATTTTCGTAACCCAAAAATGAGCAGAGAGCGTAGGCGAGGGAGATTTAGCTGGTTCAATGCGTTGTTGCAGGTGTTTTGGACTGACAAACGCCGGACCCTTTCGTCCAATTCTTTTTTCTGCTCAGATGCGAACGAAACAAAGTTTTCATCCCTTAACTTAGAAAGGATAGTTTCCCGCATTAGGTCATGTACCCTACAACGTCTTAGCCTTCCGCGTGAAATTGTTTCTGCGATTTGCACCAAACTTCTGTTTATAAGCTCCTTCAGGTATCTTTCAGCAACCTCCTCTTGTGACATCCCTTCTCTTTTCTCAACAAATCCTTCTGCAATCCACAGACGGATGAGTCTCATACACTCAATCACGTGATCCTCTGGAAATACTCCCAAGTACAAAAAGCAGCTTTTCAAGTTATAATGCAAATCATTGTAGCTCAAGCTGAGAATTTTCCTGAAATTGTGCATCTTGTCATTGCTTTCTAGTTCTGCAGCAAGGCTGCGAGAAATCATCTCCCATTCTTGAACATCTTTTGCGAAGAGAAGACCGCCAATTGCCACTATGGCAAGTGGCAAACCTTCACATTTTTTCAAAATCTGTTGAGAAAGGTGTTCTAGGTAAGGAGGACAGGGATTCCCACGGAAGGCTTTCTTGCAAAATAAAGACCATGATTCTTCTGCAGACAGGGGCTTGAGTTTATAAACTTTTGATTGGTTGAATACAGTAGCAACGTCAGCCATGCGGGTGGTGATTATTATTCGGCTACAGAAACTGCTATTAGGCATTGCATTTTTTATACCTTCTAGTGCTTTCGAGTTCCATACATCATCTAGAATAATGACGTACCTCTTTTGCTGTAGAAAGTTTTTCACTATTTGCATGAGCCTCATTCTATTCATGGATTCCATTCCTTGAGGGACCGGTTGCTTAATTTCTTCATGAAGTTGTTCAACCATGTCCCTCAAAATATCCTCAATCTCATAAGACTGTGAGACAGTGATCCATGCATGGCTTTGGAAGTATGCTTTTACTTGGTGATTGTCGTAGACTCTTTTTGCCAAAGTGGTCTTCCCCAAACCCCCCATCCCAAAGATTGATAAAACTTCAAGTCCGGGTTCTCTGTCAACAAGCCACTTAACGAGCTCTTCTCTCGGCTCGTCAATCCCCACCAGTTCACCTTCCTCGAGTAGAAAAGCATCCTCCCTGAGATCGTGCCATGAGGTGCCTCTGGTGGATGCACTCGCACTTTGTTCTGTGCAATATGACTTGAAATTGTATCGCTGATGCACTTCGGCGATCTTGTTGACTCTTGACTTGATATCAGCTATCTTGGAGGAGATATGATGGCGTGCTTTCAAGTTATGTATGGATGACTTGATCTTGTGAAAGTACCTCATGAACCCACGTCCGTGATCTCTTGCCAAGTTGAGCATGAATTCATCCAGAATATCCTCCATATCGTATGCAACCTCTCTGACCTGTTTCACCCACACCTTCAACTCAAGGTCATCTTCTTGCGACAACTCGGCACGTTCTAGAAAGGCCTTCATGCTCTCAAATTCAACTCTGATGAGTTCAATTTCTCCACGTACCCCTTTCAACAGTTTCACCTCTTTCTCAGCTAACGTACCAAGCTTCTCAACCAAAAAGGACACTGCGGATTCTGCCATTCCTCTAGCTCACTGATCTCCAGAGATCAAAACTCAGGCCCAGAAGGAAATAGGGTATAGCAGTTTGCTAGCACCGTCTGAGACCAAAAGAAAGAATCCTTTGAATTAACATCCAAATGGGCATTGAGCTCATGTATTCGGCGAAGTCTTCGTATAAATTCTCCACTCTGATGGTACAACAATAAATTCGCTACCTAAGCCAACAGCCAAGTAAAGCCGGCTGCATTTCGTTCGGCCCCAGTGGCAGCGACTGCACCGTTGCATTGATGATTCCTACTGACAACAGCAATTGGCCATTCATGGACTTGGCAATTTGCTACTCGTGACTGGTCAACTCACAACCCAGTCAACAATGGCCGCGACACAAAATATCTTTTTTTTTATCTGTCCTATTCTAACTCTCAACTCACTCTCTGACTTTTGCCCTGCCTCTTGCATTGCGTGGGAGTCGAAACCCATATCTGAAACTACACGTCCCCACCCCTAGCCCCCCCTTGAGAAGGTGGGGATTCGAACTCCTTACCTCCCCATTCCCATGTAGGAAGGGTGGCCATTGGAGCAAACCCCAGTGGTTTGACACAAAATATCTCACAAGGTAAATTTATGAGCATACAGCCGTGGCAGTAACCACGTACGGATTGGTAAGTGGTAATTCTCCTAGTAATCATAGGAGTTCCAACAAAAATAAGGAGAAACGCTGAGGCATTCTAGCTTACGGGGAGGACTATTTCTGCTCATTATGATGCCCATCCCACTGAGGTACTATTTTATGAAATCTGCACCACAAGAACTTGTGGATTGCAATGAGTTTCACACAAGACCTACTGAATTAGACGCATTACAAAACACCTGTACATAATGGCTATAGGTGGAGATATCGCAAATGGATCGATTCGACCAAACCTAATGCCACTGTGATATGTGGTCGGGTCTATTTTTTCAGTTGGCCCGCTAATTAATTTGAAAGAGTTCCATGCCACACACACGAGGAAGACAATTGGACATTGTCTTAATTGATTGAATGAGTAGTTTTCATGACCATGGCGCGAGCCATCTGCTTAAAGTGAAGGTGGTGGTGGCGAATACGTGATGTTCTTGTATCTATTGGTAGGGCTGACCATCGGCGGAGGCGGTGACTACCTTCCAGTGACCCTGATCACGGCACGCTTGAGCTCGTATAAACCCGCAAAGGAAACTCTTTTTGCAGATTGCATTGATGCCCCACCCGGAGCTTCTCTTGGAGAGGCTTTTCCCATGAACATGGGAAGTAGAAGTAGCCCATGAATCATCAAGCGAGCCATTGACGAACTATGTGATCCATTTTAGACCGTTGCCCACAGTTTTATGAATAGAGCTAGCAGATTCGGCGAAGTCTTTGTATGACTTCTCCACTCTGATGGTACAACAATAAATTCGCTACCTAAGCCAACGGTCCTTTGAATGAACATCCAAATGAGCGTTGAGCTTATCTATTCGGCGACGTCTTCGTATGACTTCTCCACTCTGATGGTACAACAATAAATTCGCTACCTAAGCCAATGGCCAAGTAAAGCCGGCTGCATTTCGTTCGGCCCCCGTGGCTATGAATGCACTGCAGCATTGATGATTCCTGCCGACAACAGCAATTGGTCATTCATGGACTTGGCAATTTGCTACTCGTGACTGGTCAACTCACAACCCAGTCACCAATGGACACTACACAAAATATCTTACAAGGAAAATTTATGAGCATAGAGCCGCGGTAGTGATCTCGTACGGATTGGTAATTGGTAATTCTCCTGATCGCCGTAGGAGTTCCAACCAAAATAAAGAGAACCACTGAGGCATTCTAGTTTACGATGACTATTCGAGCTCATTATAATGCCCATCCCACTGAGGTACTATTTTCTGAGATCTGCACCACAAGAACTTGTGGATCACAATGAATTTCACACGACCTACTGACTTAGACGTATTACAAAACACCTGCTCATAATGGCGGTAGGTGGAGATATCGCAAATGGATCGATTCAACAGAACCCGATGCCATTGTGATATGTGGTCGGGTCTATTTTTGTATTGGCTCGCCAATTAATTTGGAAGAGTTCCACGCCACACACCCAAACACACACGAGGAAGACAATTGGTCATAGTCTTAATTGATTGAATGAGTAGTTTTCAAGACAGTGGTGCGAGCCATCTGCTTAAAGTGACGATGGTGGTGGCGAATACGCGATGTTCTTGTATCTATTGGTAGGGCTGACCATCGGCGGAGGCGGTGACTACCTTCCAGTGACCCTTATCATGGCATGCCTGAGCACGTATAAACCCACAAAGGAAACTCTTTCTACAGATTGCATTGATGTCCCCAGCAGGAGCTTCTCTTGGAGAGGCTTTGCCCATGAACATGGCAAGTAGAAGTAGCCCATGAATCATCAAGCGAGCCACTAACGAACCATGTGACCCATTTTAGAGTGTTGCCTGTACTTGTATGCATATAGCTAGCAGATATAATGTTCCACTTCTTTAAATAGTAGTTAGGATAGGATATATATAAATAAAAAATGCAAATTAGCAATATGTGTTCGATTAACTGAGTTTATTTCAATTTTGTCTTAGTCAGGTCATTTAGGATTTAGTTCGACCTTGCAGAAAGGACACTGCGGATTCTGCCATTCCTCTGGCTCACTAATCTCAAGAGATCAAAACTCAGGCCTAGAAGGAAATAAGGTATAGCAGTTTGCTGCCACCATCTGAGACCAAAAGAAAGAATCCTTTGAATGAACATTCAAATGGGCGTTGAGCTCATCTATTTGGCGAAGTCTTCGTATGACTTCTCTACTCTGATGGTACAATAATAAATTCGCTACCTAAGCCAACGGTCCTTTGAATGAACATCCAAATGAGCGTTGAGCTCATCTATTCGACGAAGTCTTCGTATGACTTCTCCACTCTGATGGTACAACAATAAATTCGCTACCTAAGCCAACGGCCAAGTAAAGCCGGCTGCATTTCATGCGGCCCCGAGGCTATGACCGCACTGCAGCATTTATGATTCCTGCCGACAACAGCAATTGGTCATTCATGGACTTGGCAATTTGCTACTCGTGACTGGTCAACTCACAACCCAGTCAACAATGGACGCGACACAAAATATCTTTTTTTTTTTATCTGTCCTATTCTAACTCTCAACTCACTCTCTGACTTTTGCTCTGCCTCTTACAGTACGTGAGAGTCGAAACCCATATCTGAAACTACACGTCCCCACCCCTAGCCCCCCTTGAGAAGGTGGAGATTCGAACTCCCTACCTCCCCCTTCTCATGTAGGAAGGGTGGCCATTGGAGCAAACCCCAGTGGTTCGACACAAAATATCTCACAAGGTAAATTTATGAGCATACAGCCGTGGTAGTAACCTCGTACGGATTGGTAAGTGGTAATTCTCCTAGTAATCGTAGGAGTTCCAACAAAAATAAGGAGAAACGCTGAGGCATTCTAGTTTATAGGGAGGACTATTTCTGCTCATTATGATGCCCATCCCACTGAGGTACTATTTTATGAAATATGCACCACAAGAACTTGCGGATTGCAATGAGTTTCACACAAGACCTACTAAATTAGACGCATTACAAAACACCTGTACATAATGGCTATAGGTGGAGATATCGCAAATGGATCGATTCGACCAAACCTAATGCCACTGTGATATGTGGTCGGGTCTGTTTTTTCAGTTGGCCCGCTAATTAATTTGGAAGAGTTCCATGCCACACACACGAGGAAGACAATTGGACATTGTCTTAATTGATTGAATGAGTAGTTTTCATGACCACAGTGCGAGCCATCTGCTTAAAGTGAAGGTGGTGGTGGCGAATACGTGATGTTCTTGTATCTATTGGTAGGGCTGACCATTGGCGAAGACGGTGGCTACCTCGTAGTGACCCTGATCACGGCACGCTTGAGCTCGTATAAACCCGCAAAGGAAACTCTTTCTGCAGATTGCATTGATGCCCCACCCGGAGCTTCTCTTGGAGAGGCTTTTCCCATGAACATGGGAAGTAGAAGTAGCCCATGAATCATCAAGCGAGCCATTGACGAACCATGTGATCCATTTTAGACCGTTGCCCACAGTTTTATGAATAGAGCTAGCAGATATAATGTTCCACTTCTTTATATAGCAGTAAATAAAATGGCAAATTAGCAATATGTGTTCGATTAATTTAGTTTATTACACGTAAGGAGGGAAGATCAACGGAGAGACATAAACAAGGAGGTGGGACAGTTACCAAAAAATCCTAAACCTATTGCACATATGTCAATTTAATTCTAAATCTTTCAATTTGGTTAATTTAATCATAAACCTTATGACAATTTGCTAATAGTCCTTCTGACCAATTTTAGCCGAAAATTGGTAATGTGGACACTAGCTAACTAGTCGTCCTATGTGGCACAGTTGTTATTGACGTGACATTCTATTTTTCTTTTTTTCCATCTTCCTTCGACGGTGGCTAAGGCTTGATGATAAACCGGCGACCAGCCACAGGCAAGGGTTGGCGAGGCTCGACCTTGTCGGATCTCACCATCGCCAAAGCCGAGCGGTCGGCGGAGGAAGAAGGATAAAAAATAAAAAAGAAAGAAAAAAAAGAAAAAGAAAGCAAAAAATTATAAAAAAATGTAAAAAAATGGTCCACATAGACTAACGGCAGTGTTATGTAGGACGGCCAACATCCACGTTAGCGATCTCTGATCAATTTTGATGGAAAAGACTATATTGGCAAATTGTTAAAAGATTTAAGACTAAATTAGACAAATTGAAAGGTTGAGGACTGAATTAGGGTTTCTTTAGTAAAGTTTTTGCTCCCAGAAACAATTTCTGTTCAGAAATAGTTTTTTTATTGCTATTCCCTAGATGAGTTTTTGAGCAAAAAAACACGTTTAGTAACTGCTCAAAATTTCTATTCCTAGAGTAGAAAAAAGAGCAAAAATGTGTTTGGTAGGACACTAAAAATTTCTACTCCTAATTTTTTCATTTAATTATAAAATTGTCGGTGGAGACTTAACGATTCATGTTTGGATAAAATTGGATTAGAAATAAAATAAGAATATATTATGATATAGAATTGGATGACCTTAATACAATCATAAAGAAAATTACTCCTT